GTGGGAGAGAGATCCAGAGGTGGGCTGCTGACCCGAGTCCAGCTGCTGACCGAGTCCAGCTGCCGACCGAGTCCAGCTGCCGACCGAGTCCAGCTGCCGACCGAGTCCAGCTGCTGACCGAGTCCAGCTGCCGACCGAGTCCAGCTGCCGACCGAGTCCAGCTGCCGACCGAGTCCAGCTGCTGACCGAGTCCAGCTGCTGACTGAGTGATGGAGCAGGACCTGAGAGGAGTTAATGTGGAGAGGTTCTGTGACATACTGAGAAAATTCTGAGTTTAAATGCTCCTTGTCTCTATTTCAAGTCTCTGCTCCGAGTCTCTGCTCCTAGTCTCTATTTCAAGTCTCTGCTCCGAGTCTCTGCTCCTAGTCTCTATTTCAAGTCTCTGCTCTGAGTCTCTCCGAGTCTCTGTTTCAAGTTTCTTCTGAGTCTCTTCTCCAAGTTTCTGTTTCAAGTTTCTTCTCTCTGCTCCAAGTCTTTTCTCTGAGTGTCTACTCAGAGTCTCTGCTCCAAGTCTCTTCTGAGTCTCTGCCACGAGTCTCTCCTGGTGGTCTTTGTGTTCAGTTGTTTAGTTTTCACACTGATCCAACAGAATTCTGAGTTGATGAAAAGTTCGGATGTTTCGTCTCACAGTCAGTTAACTCATCCAGGTCTGATTGTTGTTTGTTGTTAGGACCTGTCAGTCACATGAAAGGAGTCGGCAGCAGAAGATGACGAGTCACTTTCTGAAGAAATATTTCAGTGCAGTGTGACTAACGTGGAACAGGAATGAATTGTTTAAATTAAAACTTGTCTGACTCGTGATCTTTGTGTTTGACCTGCAGAGCCCTGTGTGTTTACATCAACTTAGCCTTCAGGTAACTCCTCCCCCTCAGTCCACCTGTGACACACCTTCTTCCTTCTTCCTGCTTGCAATCTGAGCTCCCGGACTTTCACCCTGTCTAATCCCAGGTTCACGGGTAAAAACAGGCACAAAGATCTGACTGAGCCTGCCTCCAGACTGACTTTATATTATTTTTATATCATAATTTTATTTCAAGGTTTTTAAAG